GCCTCTCTCCAGTTAAATCCTATCACCAAGAAAGACAACATCGACTGCTTCACACAGACAATGAATACCAGAAGTCTTCAGAGAGCAGCAGAAGCCCTCCACTTCGATGAGGGTTCTGTTCCTACTGACGATCATTTCCCTGTTGATGGCCGGCTGGAGGCCACAAATATCAACATATTAGAGCCGGAGAAATCCTTGGAGGAACAACAGTTCGGCCCATGCACCCAGTATCTATATTCAATAGACCTGGCTCTTCTACCTTAGACTGATAGTACTTCGTATTATTATTCGTTCTATTGTTCAAATCCTTCGAATATCCATTATCGCTGACCACTAGTAGATTCTAGTCCTCAGGTAAGTCATGCCCACACAAGATTAGCTAACTAGTCGCAGAGTCCTTGGACAAAGCCCCGGGTGTAACATGGTAAGGCACGCGGACCTTAAGACTATTCAGTACGCTACTTAGTAGGTTCTAGGGCCCGCGGGTGGTAACTCGCGGGTAATGTTGGTTTTTGGTAAAATTCCTTGTATCGCCTAAGCCCTAGATTAGGTGCCTTACATAGAGTACCAACTGCTTCAGACAATCCTGACCCCCTCGCACTAAATCCTGGCCTCTTCAGAGCTGGGACCCCACTAACTATGCTAACTACCAGTGCCGACTAATCCTCGCCGAACATTGTATATCCTTCCCCGGGCTCCACCTCCTGCTGCCAGGTGTGTTCAATCATTTTCCCAATTTGGCTTAGTGGATGCCTCTTACCTCTATACTACGTATGAGTTCTACACTTTGCATTTCAGTTTTGCATTGATTACTTTTTCCCATCAACGACTCTCGTCTTCTTCACTCCCATTCAAACACCAGCTGGACTAGGCTTTCATTCACCAATACGTCTTCATCCATCGTTGCAAAATTCATCAAGCCAGTATGGATAATCCCGAAACTACCGAGTTCCTGTGCGGCCTGGACGGCACGGACGTCACTCTCTATCCACCACCCGAGCCGCCTCTCTGCCTGCCCCGCCAAACCTGGGTGATCGATGAGAAGCTCTCTGAACGGTCTCAATCGATGACGCAACAGGATGTTGCCGATGGCCTTGGACTTCCGTTCGCAGCTGCTAAGTTTCTCTGCCATCGCAAGGAAAATCCTAGCAAGAAGGCTTTTATGCGGATTTATCTTCAAATTCCAGTCATTGGCACTCAATATCAGAGCCCTCAGATTCGACAAAAGCAGGCTGCTAAGCCACAGCCGCACGTTGAGTTGATGGCCTTGAAAGTGCTCAAGATATTGGAATGTGATGTTATCCCTGACCTCCTTGCTTACCAAGAGGGAAAGCAAGGCGAAGATAGTATAGTTCCGGGAGGTTATATCACTTATGTGGTCTGGGATAAAGTCCCCGGGGAGCCCCTAAGCGAAGAAGAATTCTGGGAGCTAGATCTTGAGTCACGCCAAGTGATCCGCGATAAATTTCGTGAAGCCTTTCCGTAAGTCTACAGAGCTCTCTGCCTGGCGTGCTCTCGATTGACATACAAATCAGAAAGTTGAAGAAATACGGTTACCTACCACGTATGTCAACCATGTCGAAGGTTATCTATGACAAGGCCACCGGGAATATGTACGCTCTATCCGTTATTGAGCGGCGAACACTATAAGCTGATGAAAATTAGGCACTTCTCAGGGTTTTCACGCGCAGGCTGTACTGATACAAACGAAGAGTGGCATGACAAGTACTACGTTCTGTTTCGTTTGGCCAAGCCATCTCCGCAGACGACGGATTGGGCCAAGGATACCGCAGAGTGGACTTGGTGAACAGCGAGCGAAGCCACACTCAAATAGACCCCCGGAAGGAAATATCCGTCAAGAATTCTTCTATTATTCACATGAATCTTGAAATCTATATAGAAGAATCATAATCATCATAATAACAGAGGATTCGAAAGCTATATGTGTATCGAAATGAACATGTATGAAGATCGTAAATTGACTAGCGAGGATAGTGACTGACGCAAGCTTTTGTAGCGGGTGATGACGAGGTTATATGATAATATCAATGCTAGGGGCAGAATGCGAGTACCGGTGCCCTCTAAGAGAGCCCGCTATGGGTGTCGCGCTGGCAGTATCGTGCTGAATTGCCGGTCAAGGATAGCTCTTTGGCTTCGAGAGCTGCGCTTTAGCCGGGTCAGCATTGCAGTGGAAAGGCTGAGTGTTCTGTAAAGGTTTCAGCCAGCGCTTCCGATGCAAATCGGCGAATTGACGCCCCAGTGCAGCTCAGCTACAGGATGCTGGCTCATAGGTTCCTTGAACAACCGACACTGTGGGACCGGGTTATTCAAACAAGGCGGCAAGGTTCGGCGGATGGGGTCGAATCTTAAACCCCCCGTATTTTGCGCTACAGAGATCGAATCATGTTCTATGTATTTACTAGTAGTTGTACAACGGGGTTTCCCTTGGCAAGTGCCTGGATATATGTTCCTGATAGTATTCTGATGACTAAAAATACTCGGCTAAAAATTGTTGGGGAAATAAAGGTGTACGAACACAAGATGAGGGAGGTGTATGAGGAAGAAACTATGCTTCGCCATTTGCTTGCCCAGCCGATCAAATATATGAAGGATCTGAATTGCATGTATGGCTTCATGAGCAACTACTGTGAGACGATATTCCTTCGGCAAGAGTTTATTACAAGCAGATGGGTTGTCGATTACTCTCCAATTATTCAGGCGTCTATCTCCTATGTCAAGACGGACCTGGACGATCTCCAGACTACACCAGTTGTGTCATTGAGGCAATGTTTCCTTGCTGTTGCGGCTCTAGCACAGGTGCAGGGGCCTGTCTACAATACAACACCAAAGTCAGAATGGGTTGTGCAAATGAAATGACAATGCGACTACAAGCTTCCAAGTTCCACTCTGCGTCTCCGGATCAGCGCCATGCTCAGCCTCCAAGAAATAAGAAACGATCAAATATTTGGAGAATTGGGCATATAATACGAGGGAATTCAAAGACATCCTTGATTTCGAATCGAGGGCCTTTGGGGACCTGGAGCACGATCGGTTAGTTCAGTCGGCTGAGGTTTTGAGGAGCATTTTTCTCCAATCCTGAGGCACTATGCCGAATGAATTCGAATCAAATGGAGCTCTGCTTCGACCAACATGGTTCTATATAGTGTCTAGAATAGAATTTCCTAGGCTTCGAGTGTCTCAATGACTTTGCCAAACATATATTAATGCTCGCTTGCGCTTCACCTCTTCCTACAATGTATACTTGGCTTCAAATCTCTCGAGAGGCAAGACCGTCACTGGTACTGGGATAAAGTAATATTTTCTTCGACCCTTATTCTGAACTCTGATCATATCTTAATACATAAGCAGTGACGCGAAGCACATATTGAAGTTTAGATTTTCAACCAACTTTAGATCAACAAAACGTATCTCTAAGAGCCATAAACCCAAGCAAATGTCAACCGCATAAACACATAATCAATATGAAACTCCTTTATTCTGACTCATCCACTGCCTCGAATTAAGTCGGACAATAGGGCCAGATATATACCGAATAAGAGGTTGGCTCGCCTGCCGGGTAAAGGCTAATTTTGGACTGACCTTCCTTGATAACGAAGTTTTTGGGTATAGCCCAAAGCCAGTGATTGGCAAGGCTTTCGGGTCCGTTAAAACCGGTAAAATACCAGGTACAGTTCTTGCCAGGCACAGTAGCGTCCGCAATCCAAAGCCATCGGTGCTGACTGTCGTGGATAGTCCAGTAAAGAAGATATATAAGCCCCCCAAAAGGGATCACGACAAAAACAGTAGCAAGAAAAGCACAACAGGTAATGATAAATATCCAGCGTATTAGGAACCGTGTTATCTTGCCACTCACTTCTCCCGCCGCTAATATCCCGGTGCTTATCAATTTCACAACTTGTTTGAGCATCGAGAATACTGCGTGGAGAATAGCACGAGTGGCCTCGACAGTCTGGTCCCCGCCTTTGTGGGCTCTGGAAACGAGCTTTTCCCACATCTCTTGCATGTTGAGGCATTTCGGACATTCGAGTTTCGGCGTATCTGCCGGCAAAGATTGAATTAATCATGCATGTACACGAATACCACCCGTATCATTCTTGTAGTTCTTGCTCTTACCGTTTTGCTCTGTGAGCCGAGCTTCGTCTTGGCTTTTGTGTGAAGGAGAGCTATGTAGACTGGGATATCAAGTTAAATCTTGTAGAGATGGGTAGAGGTCTGTGCTTTTGGCATGGGAGGGCTCATACCCAACACCCTCGCCTCTCTCGAGGTCATATAGGGGTAGTGTTTCTGTAGATGGAGACATGATAAAGTCTTGCGCGAGATGCTTTTCGGACTGAGTTGGGAAAATGTTGCAGCTTGGAGGAACTCCAGACTGGGGAGGATTTCGAAGTAGGCTGCAATATGACTCAGGATAGATCCGTGGTTGACTTCATATGTAGCTGTCATGCTTCATTACGACATAATGCCCTATTGTGGGCGATACCGCAGTACCAGGCATATCAACGCAGACTCACCAGATGATTGACTTGTTGAAGAAAATCCATGAAATGGGTAAAGTCATGATTCGCGGTCTCAAGTAAATTTGTTTATTCGGATCACTATATGATGAAAATCCTGAGTCTCTGCTGTTTTCTCTCGAGGCAACTTGAAAGCATCCACAGCGAAAGGTTAACCAAGTGCCTTCTTAACTACAATCAAAGTGCAAGCTTTAATGAGATTTAAGGACCTGTAGGCTACTTTGAAGACGAAATGCTGAGCAATCCCTCTATATCGGAGGCCCGATATAATATATAGATTCATGACATAAGATCCCAGCAAAGTCCATCACCAACCTGCAGCCAGAAAGCCATAAATGATGCCAAATTCCCATTAATCAAGTGCCGGGAATATACCAGCCAAGTTCCCCAAAAAGCCAAACTCGCCATCACTCTCCGAACAAGGTACACCTGATCTCAAAACATTGCCCTCCCAAAAGCCAGCGCTTATTTCTTTCCCTGGGGTAATAGCACTAGAAGAGTCATGGCGCCTCCCAGCAACAGGAGAAATATAACAAGGGCGAACCAAACGTACGCTACGAATGGTATCTTATGGGCGAGCCTCGAAATACTCTGACAACAAGTACTCTGGCGCTGCTCAGAGCCTTGGTCGGAATTGTTGTTTTCTGGCTTTGGCTCGTTTTCATCTGTGAAACGCTTAGATTCCAGTTCGAGTGCAGGCGACAAGTGTGTCTTACCAGTGCGCCGCATCCATTCATTGTCCGATTCTGAGTCGTCAAAGGGATTGTCAGGAACTCCAAAGACATATCTCTTCTTCTTCTTTGAATCCTTTTTGGCTTTGTTGATGGTAGAAGGCCCAAGACCCTCCCCTCTTTCCAGGTCAACGTCTTGGAAAGCTGTGCTTCCCAAGACCGCGTTTGTTTGACTTGAGCGCTGGTATATGGGCTCGGGATGCTCTATCGTATCATTTTGCGTAGATGCGTTGCCTCTTTCCAGGCCTTGCACTTGGCGTAGTTCGGTTTCTGCACTTCCAGACATGGCAGGCTATAGTTTCGAGCGCGATTTAGCTGTGAAAAGTGTTGATATAGAGTGCAGTCGTGGTTTGAAGAGTTCTGAAGGAGAGAGGCTACGTCGAAGATGTAATGAGTAGTTTCAAGGACGTCATAACTAGGCGTCGACTCATGAGGTATGTATAGGTGACATAATTTTTAGGTGGTGGATTAGGCTTCAGTCTGCCTTAATAAGATGGCGATGAGTTTTGCCTATGAATGGAAAAAGTGTCTTCAACGTATATTTACCGGTCTACAGTCAATATAAAAGCATCGCCGTGGTTTCATATAGGACATATGTTGTTGTATCTAGTCCTGTTATCTTCAAAATGCAAAGGTCCGCTAGTAGGTGACTGTTCGGCCAGGTTACAGAGTCTAGAGATTTAATAGTCACAGCCGGGCATATGATACACGGGCTTTTTGAAGATTTCCCTGGCATAAATTTTTAGAACGCAGGTAGTTTGTATAAGAAGCACCAGTGCTCAGCAGTGCAGCAGTTTGGGTTTCTAGACACTGACTCGGTGGAAGGGGTGTCACTAATTTCACAAGTTATTACAGAACTATATCAGAGAAAAGTAACAAACTCCAAAAAAAATAAAAATAAGGGCTTCGGTATACAATCTAGATTGATTGTGATGCAAAAAGCAATGACCAGACTGGGGCTCGATCCCAGGACCTTATCGGTGTTAACGATACGTGATAACCAACTACACCATCCGGCCAATTGTTGAATAGCAGTCCTGATTTCTGACTACAAAAAGGAAGTAGACGCTTAACGAGGCTGGCTGGCTATTAGCTTTAGATGGTCCTAGTAGTGTGGTCAAAGTCGCCCTTCCGCGGTAGTCAAAGAAAACTCGGCCCTACTAGCTATCCTCAAAATGTTCACTGTCAGCTCAAAATTAATGGGTAAGGGGTGACTTTTCTTAATCAGTGACAACATATCTCCAAGGAGACAGGTTGCAAGGTTTCTATTCTCCTTTGTCACGACACCAGGGACAGCACCTACTACGAGACTAGAATCTCGAAGCTCGATCTATTCATCGGGATATAGTCACCTCAAATTGGCCAAATAATTGTACTTCAAAATCATGCTAACTAAGGTTACATTCTCTTGCCTATTCCCAGAACTCCACATATAGTGAAGGGCATGGGATCCTGGATAAAGCCGAAGTGTCCGATAGCCTTGGGAGAAAATCTTCTTGAATTTACTCCTTACTCTTTCCATTTACTTCAAACGCTTCGCAACTATTCTTCCCATATTGTTGATGCTTTTAACAGATCCAAAGATAGTACTACAGTCCAAGGAGTCATTGTTGAATACGGGTCATAGCCCAGTAACCCCCATCAAGTGCTATTACGAGCGGCTTGAACCGCTACCAATTCTACTTGGTGAAATCACTTTTCAAGATGTTGAGCTATGGCCTTTTTACCACAAGAGCGAGAACTGCCACCTTTTATGTTCCATGTTCGCGTTCAGTACGCCCCCAGAATGAACGAGGTAGCACAAAATGTCCAGGTTATCGGCATACATAGCCGCATCCAGCGGTGTCACTTCCTCTCCACCCTGTAGGTTTGGGTCGATTTTATCTCCAATAGCCGCTTCATGATGGCAAGGTTCTCGTTGGTCACAGCGATAAGAAGGGTGTTTCTGAATCCTCGTCAATTACGTTTAGTTGAGCGTCATGCTTGAAAAGATACGCAATCTCATAATTCCTTGATTCAGCGACCCCATGCAACACAGCCAGCCCTGGCACTTGTCTGTATTTGAAAATCTTGACTTCGGCTTCATGTTCGCACAATATCTCGACCATGTCCATTTGTCCTTGTCTACCGGGCCAGCATAATGACTGGCAGCCGTTGCCATTAATCAGTTGGATCTCCCCGTTATTAAGACTCAGATCTAAGAGCTGTCCCAGCGGCACATAGCCAAATGGGAAGCAGGATGGAACGCAATAAAGTGTTTATCGATACAAACACTCGGCGAATCAAGGTTTCGTTGTTGAGTATATAGTTCAACCTTTCTACTTTGCTCTATTCACTGCAGCACCCAGAAGTTTTCTTTCATTTCTAAGGCTTCGATGATATCACTAGTGGCTTTTATGACATGCTTGATTCACTGCGTCAATGGACACATAAGCACCATTTGTACCTCTTTTTCCTCCGTGTCATGGGCATCAAAGTAACATTGGAGCTCTCACCAGTGTGCCCATCTTGTGACAATCTATCATTATTCCCCTGTGGCGCCTCTGATGCAGCCGTTATTGGTTGTGTATCCAGTTATGGTCTTCATGTTCCTGGACAGAATTCGATACACTCAAAGTATCGCGGAGCCATAACCCCGTGTTGGATTCATTCGAGGATCATAGGAAGCTAGTCCACTGTCTTGAACTTCAAGAGTTCCCCGAAATGGGGAGTTGCTCAATTGTACGCTTATATTGGGTCTATCCTCAAATGTTTCTCTCATAGAACCGCATGTGCAGACACCTGAGCAGAGATTCCGAATTTCCGCTTATTAGGCCAGTCACAATGGCTAGCTCCTCTAACATCGGAGGGCATTGTACTAATAGCAATATACGAAAGATAGCGTTGGAATACACAGGAGCCGTTTGGGAAGTTGTTAGCACATTTCCCATCGCGATGTATGTTAGGAGTCTGAATCGGGCTACTTGGGCTTAGTTTGCACAAGGCTAGGAGGGTTGGCCAATACGCGACGACAGTGATTAGTACGACATGAGACTTGAAAATACTGGTTCCCCGCTATGTGTCAGGGGGTGGTTTATTCAAGTACAACAGGGTAGAATGGGACTCAAGGACTCAAATAGTGGTGCCTGTGTACAACAGAGCACACACAAAGGATAAAAACAAAAACATTGACCAGACTGGGGCTCGATCCCAGGACCTTATCGGTGTTAACGATACGTGATAACCAACTACACCATCCGGCCGAATGATGAAGTTTACTAATTTTCTTTGGCATTGTAACCCAGGGTTGATCCACCAAGCACATCTACAAGACATGTTAGACATCATTCACACTTAGTTTTAGTATTATATTAGTATAACAAAGCTTGCCATTTAGTCCTTCAAGTAAAACAAGACTATTGTAACATATTGCTAACTGACACATGACTCATGAGCGACGTGTTACCCACTGAGTATCTCATGTTGAAGCTTCCATGCGAGCCCAGGGCTCACCAACAGTGTGCCAAATTATATATCATGCTTGTGACTTTGCTCCGTTGTTCTGGCCGTATATAATACCCTCAGGTAACCCGTCAGGGGTAAATACCATGAAACACAAAGTAACTAGTACGCATAGATTCAAAATTCATGGTAGTGAGAGTATTACAATCAACCTCATTGAAAAGTATGGAAGACGGTTGGCGGACTGATGAACTAATTACTAGTATACACATAAAGCTCACATGCTTATTCAGTCTGGAGGTAGTCAGAATTTCGGGACGGACAGAAAGGGATTGGTGTCTCCACATTAGATAGCAATGACAAGAAATTGCCCACTGAAAGATTGCCTGCATATATACACTTAGACCCGGGGCTCAGGGCTCTCGATCTATAATGCCATTTTTAGTCTAGTCTAGGAGACGAAATTTTGGCAGGGAAAGCCCCTTTTTTGCTCTGGTTTATGATGTTAAATAAGAATCGCATAATTCATCAGTTGGCCGGATGGTGTAGTTGGTTATCACGTATCGTTAACACCGATAAGGTCCTGGGATCGAGCCCCAGTCTGGTCATCTTTTTGCTTTTGAACCTCCTAAATTGCACAGAGCGAAAGTTGGCTCTTCTTTTTCTCTCGCCCTTTTTGTTTTCTTAGCCCTCCAGTGTGGGTGTGCCTCGAACCAACGGCATATCTAGCTCCACCTCTTATCTGTCACAGCATCTTAATCATTATACTCGTAATGTTTCACACTTGCATACAATTTATCAAAAGCGTGCTTATTTTTTCCGTCATATATCAGGCGGGCCTAAATATATAAAGCAGCGGGGCTTTATTTATATTTCACCGCAAATGGGGCTCTCCATTATCTAGTTTATTTACGGTTGATACTAATTGTCACCTCTGGCTAGCCATATTACGCATCAATGCTACTGATTAATGGGCCTAAGATACTTTCATATCCCGAAGGTCATATATAGAGTATTAGAGATTAGAGAACAAAAGCCCAGAAAAACACAGATACCTCAAAAAGATTCCTTCAGCCATAGCTACAGAAGTGTCAAAGAGAAAGAAGAATACAGAAACTGTTAATAAACAGTGTTTCCCCTCCTATGTCGCCTAAAGCATTAATAGAAGATGATCTCCAGCATATACAGTTCAAGCTAGTTGATCTGCACAACGACCTTTCCAATATGTCTCTGGGCAGCCTGTGTTGTAGCGAATTAGCACTTTAATTTGAGAAAGCATATATCTCTCATTACTTACCAAATATTCAAATGCTTCGTTTCCTTGCTCGAGAGTGAAAGCTTTCTCATCAACCACAGGATGAATGTCGTTTGCCTCAAATGCCAGGACCATATCTTTAAGCATAGCACGGCTGCCCACATAGATACCCCTAACTGTGCAGACATGGCTCAAGGCTTCAAGAAGCCCTGGTTGAGGCTTGTCACTGGCACCTAGGAAGCCAACCAAGTTGATGACTCCATCCATCTTTATACACTTTAAGCTCTGTTCAAGTGTATCTGTGCCACCAATGTCGATGATACAGTCAACTCCCCGTTGATCTGGGGTAAGCTGACGAGCAAGTTCACCCCAATTTGGGCTAGACCGGTAGTTAAGAACATGGTCAGCTCCTAGCTGCTTCAATATCTTAACCTTTTCCTCAGAGGAGGTCGTAGCAATAACCGTTGCACCTGCAGCTTTAGCCAACTACAAGTAGCAACCCTGTTAGCCTTCGTAATAGAAGGATGCCTCCGGACGGTCGGAGTCGAAAGCCAAAAGCATTATAAATAAGCACAAGACATACCTGCAGC